TCATAAATTTGAACATTTGTATTAGGAGAGCATAAGTCGCATGGGATCTTTTTCTGGATTCGCGGTTTCGAAATTTTCATAAATTTGAACATTTGTATTAGGAGAGCATAAGTCGCATGGGATCTTTTTCTGGATTCGCGGTTTCCAAATTTTCATAAATTTTAACATTTGTATTAGGAGAGCATAAGTCGCATGGGATCTTTTTCTGGATTCGCGGTTTTCAAATTTTCGTAAATTTGAACATTTGTATTAGGAGAGCATAAGTCGCATGGGGCCTTTTTCTGGATTCGCGGTTTCAGCGCGGGATCGACTTTAATTTAGCTCCTAATGGTACGATGGCGCTATTAATATAGTTTTCCTTCGGTTTCTCAACAAAATTCAGCTCCTTAGCGTAAGAGGGAGCTGTTTACACCAAAATTATAGGAAATTTAAGGATTTTAAATATATTATGTTTAGAACGCATGCGGGAAAGGTGGAAATTGTTAATTTCTAATGAACTTAATTCTTCAAGATGATAAATATGAACTATATTTCTCAACAAATGATCATCTTCTTCTTTTTGTAAAATAAAAGCAGAGCTGTTTATATTAAAACAAATTTATTTCATACTTCTATTACACGTCATTTACAATTTATTTTAAGATAGAATTTGTTCAAGAATACATTTATTTTTGCAAATAGTATTATGATAAAAAAAATACACTGCATGTTAATACATAGTTAGGAACGAATTTTATTAACAGAAGCTCAAAAACTATATTTCTAATAAAACCATAAATTACGTTAACAAAATCTGGACATTTTAGATAATTTACAACTTTTAACAATGTATAAACTGTTGAATTACCAAAAATATGTAATTGTAGCTTAAACTGATAGGTAAAACTTTTCTAAATTGATTTTTTGGCATAAATGTTAAAACCAAATTAAATACTTGTTATCACGTTCATAATTAATATTGATTTGGGCGGATAGGGTGGCTATAAGGGGAGATGTGGAGGCCACAGAGAGTTAGTGCGCATTTTTGTCCCAAATGTAGTATTTCAATGGTAATTCAACAGCTTATAAATAACTAGTAAATGTAATAATTAGAAAGTTGCATTATTTATTGGATATTTTGTGTATGTTATGTATTATGCTGTTATTTGAAATAAATATGTTTGTTGTAATAAATGTAAATTATGTGTCTAAATAATAAATGAATTATCATTGTATTATCATTGTTTTGGTGATGAAATAAATAAATAAGTAAATAAATTTTGTGTTTTTAATTTCAAGTATGTTTTCTTGAAAGTCATACGTAGACAAAAATAAACTCATAAAGACCACTAATATGTTTAAAAAGCAAAGAGATTATATTAATTTTGGTATTACTAGCGCCATCATACCATTAGGAGCTAAATTAAAGTCGATCCCGCGCTGAAACCGCGAATTCAGAAAAAGATCCCATGCGACTTATGCTCTCCTAATACAAATGTTTAAATTTATGAAAATTTTCAGTTTCGCGACATATACGAGGTCCGATCAAAAAATAATTGATCAATTGAAAATTAAAAATTTGGTTCAACTATTTTTTAATCGGACCTCCTATATGTCACGAAACTGAAAATTTTCATAAATTTGAACATTTGTATTAGGAGAGCATAAGTCGCATGAGATCTTTTTCTGGATTCGCGGTTTCGAAATTTTCATAAATTTGAACATTTGTATTAGGAGAGCATAAGTCGCATGGGATCTTTTTCTGGATTCGCGGTTTCCAAATTTTCATAAATTTTAACATTTGTATTAGGAGAGCATAAGTCGCATGGGATCTTTTTCTGGATTCGCGGTTTTCAAATTTTCGTAAATTTGAACATTTGTATTAGGAGAGCATAAGTCGCATGGGGCCTTTTTCTGCATTCGCGGTTTCAGCGCGGGATCGACTTTAATTTAGCTCCTAATGGTATGATGGCGCTAGTAATACCAAAATTAATATAATTTCTTTGCTTTTTAAACATATTAGTGGTC